ATTTTTGCCAGCCTGTAATGACAAGTCTTGGAAAATAGCTATGGAAATTAAGAGAAAGCAAACTTCACCTTAAGAAGGGTATTCAAAAGTATTTTTGCAGCTTAAAAGCAAACCAATACGGATAATCTAACATGGATCTGCCCAGAATGTTTACTCCTGCCTGGGTTTTGGAAAGCATGTGGCTGGGTTAGTTTTAAAGCTGCAGTGGTACTCCATGGAGTGTGGCCGGGGGAGATAAGGCCCACCTGAGAACAGTGAAGAAAACACTCTAAAACCCCAAGTGTGACTGCGTTGTCCCCAACCTGAACTTCATCACAGGGCCATTTCAGGGGTCCTCTCCCCATGCTCACAGGCTCCCCTCACTGATGAGGGGACAGAACAGCGTGTCTGCACAGGGGGAAGAATTCCTCCCCACATCCAGGGGCAGCCGCATCCCAGCAGGCTGATGAGAAGGAAGACAGGGCAGACCCCAACCGCACCATCTGCAGGTGTGTCCCCCTCAGGGCCAAGTGTTCCCAAGGTTCCCTGGGGACAACTGACCTTGCCCTGAAATCCCAGGTCAGGTTTCAAGTCCCACATTCCCTACTGCGGTGACCTGGGTACATCTCCAGATGTCATGTCACAGTCGTTCACAAGTAGAATGGACAGAATTCCTCCTGAGTCCACGGTGAGCCAAGTGGCCGGAGACCATGCCCTAAGACAGTCAACTGTGCATGAAAGGGTCCAGAGATACTGGGGGGAGGGCAAGCCTACAGAGCTCCCAAGCCTGCCTTCCACCCACGGGGGCCATTATGTCGAATGTGGATGATCCCCTCTGTGAAAAACCTCCTCACTCTCATCTCCACCTCTGAACTGGTTATGTGGACTCTCTTCTTCACAAGGGTCCCAAGTGCTACCAAAAGGTGTCTATCTTATAGGAAGCTCAGGCTGCTTCCCAGAGTCACACTAGGAGTGATCTGAACGCCAGCTCTCTGGTCCATCCCCTGATACAACAGTCTGTGTGACGGCACTAAGTTCGTCAGTGTTCCAAACCACCCATCCCATCCACTCGAGCTACGTGAGCGAATTCCTTGAGGGAAAGTAATTACTGTATCCGAAGCCGGTGAAATTATCCTTGGGGTGTGCTTCTTCCTCCTGAGAATAGCTCCTCTCACAATTACGCTCTCTACCAGGAATCTATTATATGAGCTACTTTGCCCTCCAAAGACATCATTAATCATATGGTGAAAGTGTAACTACAATTGAAAATACAAGATGTTTTGTGAAACACCAAGTTCAGTGCTTGGCCATCGCCCTGCTCGGTGGTTAAAGAACACAGGCCTGACATCTCCTTAAAAATACTGCTCTAGGCCCACTCGACGCCTCTCTTCGAAGGTGGCTGAAGTTCTCTCTTCCCTGCTTGCTTCACAGTAACCGTTGGAGTCCACACTGCCACCGAGGTCACAGGCCCAGCTTGCTGGTCCAGCATCCTGTGCTGAGCTGTGTGGGAGCATCAGGAGAAACTGAGGGAATGGCTTTCCCGGAATCCTCCAGTGTCTTGGAAGTGGAAAGGAACGACTTCTCCCGGCTTGGGCTCTGACCGTGGGCAGAGCACATGGCTTCCTGTTTCCTTCCCCAAGCTCTGAGGCAGTCGGACCCTGAGCTCTCAAAACTTCTTTGCCTCTCATGTGGTCCCTTAAGTGACGCCAGGGTGTCCAGCCCCAGAGTGGTCGTTACAGTTAGCTCAACTCTTGGAGGCGAATTTTAAAAACTGAAAACAATCAACCTAAAGCCGTCAGCTAATCGGGTGACAGTGTAAGAAAAGTCACTCCTATGCTGGAGGCCATCCTTGGAGTCACACAGAGATGACAGCCACCACGAGGAAAAAGAAATGCAGAGAAGTGGCTAGGACTGGGCCTCTCAGCCTGACTCCATCACTGCTGGGGCCTGAGATGCTCACCAGAAATCAGAGGACAAAGCAGGAAAAGGAGGTGCCCACCTGCACAGGTGGGGCAGCCTCTGCTCACTGAGGAGCAGAGGAGAGGGCGGTGCCATGTGGGAGTGGTACGAGAGGAATCCGCACACACCAGTGCCCAGAAGGACACCTGCAGGGCAGCCCTGGGCCTGGCCAGATTAACGCAGGCTGTATTGTTCATGCTGGGTGTGGCCTCGTTGGGGTAATGGGGTACCAGGATACGGCACTCAAGAGCAGACTGTGAGGGGGGGCGGCGAGCATGGAAAGGTCTCCCTCCAGCGGGGACATCCCAGGTTTCCCAGTTGTGGCCTCCAGCCCCATGGACCATCGGGGTTCCATGACACTCCTAGGGCACCTGAGCCTCCAGGACGGCACTGCTTCCTGCTGGCTGCATGAACCAGCATTCTGGAAGCCCCTGAACGGCGCAAGCCATGGCCAGCATGCCACCACAGAAGGAGAAACGGCTGCTCAGTCCCAGGCCTGTCCCTGCCTGGCTCAGGAGCATAGACGGGCCCAGGCCTGTCCCTGAACCACTGCCAGCCGCTGTGCCCCTTCCACAGAGTGACAAGAAGACGGCTGATTCTTTCCCACCCTAAACTCAAGCTGGAGTGGTGAACCATCGAGACTCTGATTTGTAGATTCCAGGAACAAAGAAGGACTGGGTCAAGGGGCTGGGAGCACAGGGACAGACCCAGCACACCCAGCAGCTGCCACTGAGGAAGAAGCGAGCTGGGGAGGAAGTCTGCCAGCACATCACACCTCACTGGTTTCTCAACCAGCAACTGGGACACACCAGGCCAATCACATCTGTCACCCGCTCTGGCTTTGCCTCTCTGACTCATGGGCAAGTCCCGCAGACCCATTTCCACCTCCTCCCTGCAGGAGCCCACGGAGGTTACTATAGGGCAAGCCACTACCCAGTGGCTCCTGGCTGAGCTTCCTGAGGGCCACTCAGAATGGACAGTTGTGTCCCTTCATTGCCAAGAAGCCACCACCTGCAGGCTGACTCAGATGGTGGATATAAACAGTTTGAACTCTTAGAGAACACAGGGTGGACCAGCCACACAGCTGGTGAGGTGGACAATACTCGCAAACCACAGCTGGGCACCTCTGTGGCCAGACTTTATGTGCCAGGTTTCACACCAAGATGCCGTCGGGGTATCCACACATCTGCACATCTGCATCACCAGCCATCTTCCCCTTAGGGACACCCACCCCATCTCCACCCTCAGATGGCCTCTCCAAGGCCACACACAGCAGAGGGATGGAAACCGCTCTGTGCCCCTCCCAGGTTGGCCACAATCACACAAACAAACAAGGCCGAACACAACAACCCTGCCCCAGTGGTTTCTTGGTACATGTTTCTATAAAATCTACCTTCGAGTTAGAAAGAAAAAGCTACACCTCTATGTTGAAATTCCAACAAGCTCAAAAGAATGGGCCCAAACCTGAGCCTGGCACAGAATTTTTTCTAAACAAAACAGGCTGGCATGCTCTAAAAATGTGAGTATCAGCTAACCATGGCATGCAGTCCGCCCCTGAGAGGGCACAGGATCTGCTCCTGGTTGTACCAGGCATAATCACCCAACAACCACGGGCCTCCTGGGTCCCAGGAAGCAGGCTTGCTTAGGTTCCAACTTCTGTTTACAACCAAGTCCAGGTGGCCCACACTAGCCATCTTAAAGGCTCAGTTTCAAGAGGGTAGAGAAACAAAACAAAGACATGAGGGAAAAGAAGAAATAAAAAGAAAAACAGAAAATCCGCAAAAAGAAAGAAAGGATGAGTCCAGATTTACTGAGAGTCCTAAAAATTATATTATTCTGGTGGTGCCTGCATCACTTTTTCTGATCCAAATTCCTCTCAGATTTCCAAGTTGCTTCTAGTGCTTCAGTAGAAACAAGAGACCAGCACCCTCCTCCCCAGCCACTCCCACCAAAGGGGCCCCTCCCACCAAAGGAGGGGCCCCCGATGGACAATGTGTGGACATCGAGCCCACAAGAGGCAGATCAGGTGGACAAAGAAGTACCGACCCGGGAGGTGTCAAGGCTCTGCATGCTGGAAGTTGGGCTGGGCAAGGTGGCTGAGAAACTCAAACGCTCCTCATAACCCCCTGAGCACCCAGAAAACTGGGGGCAACATCCTGCACAGAGTGGCTTGACGGGACCCCTGGGTTCCCTCCCCCCACTCCCTCTGTTTTTATCTACATCGCCCACTTTCCACCAGTTGGCTGTTCTGTAGCCCAACAGCACCTCCCATCTCAGAGCCCTTCCAGATGATGGGTTCTCAGAGAGTCATGGCAAGCGCTGGCTTCCTGACACTTCAGACCTGAGAGGTGGCTCCTGCCTTCTGGTTTACTCTGCATAGCTGAAGGGCAGACATAGACTGACACACACAATGTCCACCAAAGATAGCCTGGAGCACCTGCCAGAAATGAGCACACACGGATACAGGCCAACCTCCGTCAGGTTCTCTATAAACAGACTGAGCATCCCCAGTCTGAAAGTCTGAAACCAAAATGCTCCCAAGTCTCAACCTTTTGAGCAATGGCATGACACCACAAATAGAAAATTCCACAACTGACCTCACGTGACATGTTGCAGTTAAAATGTAGGTGCACTAATAATATTGCATAAGGTGTATATGAAACGGACAAAGGTCAGGTTTATGTATCTCATTATACATACTGAGATATCCATCCCTGAGATACCTCATTATGTATAAGCAAATATTCCAAAATCTCAAAAACTAATCCAAAATCTGAAATACTTCGGGTCCCAGGCATTTCCAATAAGAGATACTCAACCTGTAAGAACACCACAAAACTTTACAGTCACCGTGAACTTTCAGACTACTTAGTCCAAACTTTTCATTTCATGGCTGAGAAGAAGTTGGCATAAAGCAATTAGATAAATCAGCCTGGACAGCGAAGGCACTGGAAGGGAATCTCAGCCCCCCGACTCCCAGGCCTAGGCTTTCCCCAAATGACCAGTGGCTTCCATCCACAGTCTCTTTCCAGTCCTGTGTCCAAATCGGCCTCTCTCCCTACCTTTCTTTCTCCACCAGGGTCCTTCGGGAACGGAGTAGGAAAGGTCTTTGAATTCGATGTTCACGGCTGCTCTCCGGGGCAGGGAGGAAAAGCGCTGGGCCTCGGTGAGATTGTTGTCCACCTTCTTCAGATGCCCGTTCAGAAGGTCGGTCTCAGCGTCGTCTACATTGCTGGAGACCACCTCGTCCACGGAGACGCACACAGACTTGGGCTCCGTCATGGCTGTGGAGTAACTGCTGGCATTCTAGAAAGATGAAGAGGAAGCACAGACTGTTATCTGGCACCCAGAGAGCAGGAAAGTCAGGAGACGGGCACGAGGCTCGGGGCGTCCATTATTCACAGCCCGCTTCTCTCGCAGGAGCAGACACCAGCCACAGGCACTGTCACGGCCAGCCTTCACTCTTTCTTCTATTAAAGATGCTCAGATAAAACGTTAAACTGAACTGCCTTCGCAACCATAAAATGTAATCACAAAACCATGGTACAAGTGAATCACCTCTTCAGTGAAGATAACACCAGCCACCATAAAAAATTATTTGTTTATGGTCAACTCGTTAAAAACGTCAAACACACATGAGGCTGCTGAGAAATGCTTAACTGGTAAAGATTTATTGAAAAGCTATTTGAGTGCCTTCCTTCTGAAATCCCGTAATGAATGCCCAAGTAGAGCTGGGGGGTTTGTGGGGACGGGCTTTGTATTTTACTTTTAAATTTCCCAAATCACCTGTGACTCTCTCACTGCGATTTCATAAGACCACCGAGGAGCAGGAAGGCTTCACCTTTTTTCTCTATCATACAGACGAGGAAGCTGAGGCGCAGTTTAAGGAGCTGCTCAAAGTGAAGGGCAGAAGTGACGTTGGAATTTGAGTCATCACAAAACTCTAGGTGTTCGTCCGGCTGCCGGCCACAGTGCCTCAGGCCTGCATTGGCTTTTTCCTTCCACTAGTTGGGATGGAACCGTGCCTGGCACACGCTAGGCAAGTGCCTGACCTCTGGGTCGCACCTCCACGCCTGCACTGGCCTTTAAGCTCCTGTCGGGAGTCAAGTGAACTGTAGCCGACAGGCCAGCGGAGACCAGAAGCAGTTATGCACAGGAGGGGTGGCTTTTCTCATGACTCGGGGATCCTGGCCCAGTCAATAAGCCCCAGAACCTCCAAACACAGAAGAGCCCTGGGGTTCTGAATGCTTTTCTAGATGTCTCCTGAATCAAATGCAGGGGCCTTTCACAACACTCCACCATGCTGCTGACAGTGGACCTCTGTGAGAGCGCCTGCCCCCCCAAGCCTGCCCACAGGTCACTTCAACTGCACTACCCAGGGACAATGCCCCTGTCATTTGTTCTAAAGTGAGAACACATCATGTTGTTCCTCTTCCATAGGTTTGCTAATTATTTCTTATAAAAAAAAAAAAAAACAAAATAAAACCAGAGAACAGATTGTCTATAATAGGCCCCCACACAAAAAAAACTCAAATGGTCACCTCCCCCTACTAGCATGTCCCCTTGAGGGCAGGTGCCTGAATCACAGAGAAGCCAGAGTTAGTTCCACTAAGTATTTAGGGTTCCAGAATCTAGCTCTAAGCTTGGGGGTTTTAAACACTTGAAACACAACTGGGGGTTGGGAATGGAGAGTTGGGCACAGGAATTCTGGATCTTTGGTGATGGAAAATATAGCTTCTCATTACAAAGACATCCACATACCACACGCCTAGCAGGCATTTCCCACCTCCCAAAACCTTCACCAAATGAAAACTCAGCTCACTGACTCCTGTGTGAATGGAAATGAAGGTGCAGAGTAAGGAGGTTCAGCACTGAGCATGTACGCTGTTTCAAATGCCAACCTAGGTAGGCAGAGTGAGGGAAGGCTGGTGTCTACCCTGTGCACCCTGCAAGAGCTCCTCAGGCTACACCCACCTGGCTGGGTCCTTGAAGGGGTTCTAGAAGACTCTGCTAGCTCAGTGGTCATGGGCCTTGGTGATGTGGCAGGAACGTACCCCTGTAGCCCAGAGCCTACCAAGCGTGCACCAGAGGACTTCCCTCTGCCATTCCACCTGCCCCTTAGGTCCTCTTCTGCTGCCCCTAGTGTCACTCATGTGGACTCCAAAAAGTCTGGGAAGCACCAGGTCGTGGCTTTGGGGGCAGGGATGTTGAGGAGCAGTGGGCAACAGGTAGCTCTGGCCTGGTCCCAGAGGCCACTCCAATCCCTGCTTGCAATACAAATGGAAGCCAAGAGTGCTGGTCCCCCGCCCATACCTGCTGCGGCTGGGCTCCCTCCCAGGACCTCCAGGGCGGGTGCTAGGGTGGGTGGAGTGTTCTGGTGCCCTCTCCACTTGAGAGCCCTCTTGACCTCTACCCCTTGGATGCCAGTTGCAGTGAATCATGGATCCCTCTCCACAGGCACCCACCACAGGGGGATCCAACTCTTGAAGAAGCTTGGGTGGGTGGCTTCTTGTTGAGGAAACTCCTAGGAACACAGGGGGAAGCCACCACTGTCCCTTCCATCCCTCAGTCATAGCAGACATCAGACAGCAGCTGTGGGTTGTGAAGAGAGCCTAGATTTTCCATTAGAGCCCAAGCCCATCTGGTCACTCACTCACTTGTTCATTCATTTAACGAACTGCACACCAGATGAAGCCAGTTCTGCAGACATGGCCTCTGGCCTCAATGAGCCCAAGTCCAAGACTTGGTCCCAGATAAGAAAATAGACAATCACAATAGGGTGGGACAAAAGCCACCGGAGACTCAGAGGGGGCACAGGAGGCTCTGAGGTGGGGGCAGGGCTCAGGGTAAAGTCTTCCTGCAGAAATACAGTCTCAGGGCTGGGGTTGTGGCTCAGTGGTAGAGCACTCGCCTAGCATGTGCGAGGCACTGGGTTCAATCCTCAGCTCTGCATAAAAATAAAGAAACAAAATAAAGATATTAAAAAAAAAAAGAAATACAGTCTCAGCTGAGGTCAGCAGGTGAGGGGGCAGGTGCTGGAGCACCATGCTCCTGCAGGCCAACAGCATGTAAAGTGGAGCACTCAGTGACCTGCAGGAAGCGCAGGGACTGGAGATGGGCTCTCAGGGTGGGGAGAGCAGCAGGTGGGGGCTTCAGTGTAAGAAGAGACCACAGGGGCAAACAGGGTCCCATGGTGAAGGGCTTGTGAACACATGAACTTTGTCTGGAGGTTGATGGGGAGCCAGAGAGGGATCCCAAGCTGGGCAGTCACAGGATGGGAACCGCAGGATTCGGCACAGTCCCCTCCAGAGCTGTGGAACTGAGATGGGGTGGGCTGCCCTTAACCAGAGGGTGCTGCAGACAAGTGGACAGCCAGCAGAGCAAAGCGGTGGGACTAGTCTGACGTGGGAGTGGGAGAGAGAAGCCAGCACCAGGTGCTTACAATGTGAAGTATTGAAGAGTGACACTTGACACACACTAGGTAAGCCACTGTCAACAAGGTGGCTGTTGACTCGGCAGTTACAACATGCCTGTTAAACTTCAGCCATGATCACACCTCTTATCATCTCTGCAGCTCTAGCAGTGGGGGAGGGGTAACTACTCCAGTGTGGGCAGCACCGGCATGGTCAGCCTGGTCACAACTCTGCAGTTAGGAAGTGGCCCTGCTGGGTCCGGCTCCAAAGGCTCCCACCCAGCCACCTTGACAAGGCTCAAGCCCTGCTTAGCTCTCCACAGCCACAACTTGTAGGTGCTGCAGGGTCATCTGCTACAGGAGAATCCACTGCAGGCTGAGGAAGTCCCACAGTCCCACCCCATCACATCCCAGCCATGCACACACTCCCACCCTTCCTCCACGGATGTCCGGCAGACTCACCCAATTTATAAAATCATGGACACCTGTGTAATGCGAGGCAGTGGCCTGTCACTCCAAAATAGACCAGCTCTCTGGAAACATCCTCAGATGAGAGCTGCCAGCAATGTAGGTTACAGCTAGCTTTTCCTCAGCCTCCTGAGCTCATTAAAAATAAAACAAACACCTATTCCCTCCCATGTCCCTCTTGCTGTTCTGTGGCTCTGTCCTGCTAGGCCTCCACTCTCACCCACCATGCTGTGTAACACCTGGAAAAGAGTCTGAGTTCATTCCTGCAGGTTGAGGGGCTGGGGAGACCCTGTTTGGGTGGCTCCTGGCTGCCCCTGGTGAGAATATTTTCCTGGGTGCTAAGGAGAGTCGCTGGGGAGGTCAACCTGAGTACTGAGCCCCTGGAGAGGCCTGAGTACTGGCCCATGAGGGTCTCCAGGCAGCTGTGGCAAGATCGGTGCATTAGGGGATATGGCTGCTGACAGAATTTTTTTTTTTAAGTACCAGTTTTCAGAGAGGAAAAATGATTTTCAAACAAAACAAGGTTATCTGAAAAAACTAAGCCCAGCCATTAGCATCTACCTATGAGAACACATCATGTGAACTCTGGGGCTGAATCAAACCGTAACACAGCATTCAACAAATTACTATAGAAAATCTCTATATTAAAGAGTTCCGATTCATTTTTCCCATGAACAAGCCACCTCTGCAGCTCTAAAAGAACTTGAAGAATTATGCATCACTTAAAAGATCAGAAACTTCCTTCACCTGTAATGGGCATCAACCACTTTAATTTTCCATTACGCTGGGAAAATTAGTAATTTAAGGATTCCAAGTAAACAAACAAGCACAAAAGGAAGAATTTTCAGGAATTACTCCAAAATTCAACTAGATAAAAGTAAATGTCTTGAAGAAGGGATTGGATTGGCCCCTTCACCCAGCTTTTTCCCACTGCCTTTTACGTACAGCAAGTCAAAGGCAGAGCACTCACGGGGGCGGTGGGGGGGGAGGGGGCTAGCCTGAGGGTCTCGGACAACCACTTCCACCCCATCACCAACTTCCTTAATATGACGACTTCCCCCATTCTATCCGTTTACACAAAATCATTATATAATGAGCTGGCGCGCGGCATGTTCTACAGTAACCTGTTTGGAATCACAGGATGCAGTTGTCAGAGCAGAGCATGCGCACAAAGCCTGCTACCTTTTTTTTCTCTTGAGCTCAAGGCAAGAGGTAACTGTCGGTCAAATCCTGCTGAGCTCTGCTGACTTCAAATACAGGATGCTAAAAATGAAATAAAGGAGAGGGGAGGGGGGACCCGCGCACGCTGGGCACCGTGCGCTTACAGCCTATGGGAAGGAGCCGGCAGGATAGTAATACACAGAGAGATGGTGGCAAACGGGATAATCCCAGTTGTTATACGGAGGACTTGCTATTTGTACTCTAGATGGCCTGAAATCTAGCCACTGGTACCTAACTGCAATGTCGGTGTGCTAGGCACAGAAGTAAGTGAAAGGTCTTAGAACAAGGCGAGGTGGGTGGGTGGGCGGTGGTTAGCTTGTTTGTTTTCTCAAGAGGAGATGCTTGACCACCCATGGGAACAGCACTTGCTGTAACTGTCTAGCCAGCACTCTGTCATCCCCTTGGAGCCGGTTCCCTCGGGAGAAGAGAGATGGCGCACCTCTGCCCCACCCGGGTCTCCCCAGCGCGCAGGAAGGCAGTCGGCAGGGATCCAGGCTCGCCCCCCACCCGTCTCCCCGGGGACTCCGCCGCCCCCTCTGCAAGTAGCTGTCCCCAAGGAGAGCAGAGGCAGCGCTCTCTGGAAGCCTATCCTCTTTTTGTTCCTCCAGACTGTGCCCGGAGTTCCGGAGGGTGGCTCGCGAAGCCCCTGCTCCCCAAGCCCACTGCCGTGAGCGCCAGCAGAGATCCGACACTCCCTTCCCTCAGGCCCACGCTACAGTCCCTCTCCAGTGCGCTCCGGGTCTCCAAGGCCTCGCGCCCCTCACCTGGAGGCAGACGAGGCCAAAGCCCTCCGTGCACTGGTGGGGCTGCTCGCTGCCGAGTGCCCCAGTCCTGCCCCCTCCGCTTCGCGGCATCCTCGGCGGGTGCAAGTTGCATCCCGAGGCGCCAGGTGGCCAGGGCGGGGGCCTCTCGGAGTCAGGCACCTCTCACTGGGGAAAGAGGGCTCTGGGTCAGCGGCCAGAGCGGGCGCGCTCCCAGGGAGGGGGTGTAAGGCGAGCGTGAGGGTCTTTGTGTGTTTTCTGCGCTCCTTGAAAATAACACCAAGCCCGGCCGCAAAAGATGCACGCACTCACCATGGCTGTGCCGACCGAGAAAGCGGCCATCAGACAGGCCATGCCCCGGGGGCGGCGGCGGCGGGGAAGAGGCTGCGGAGACGAGGATGCGCTGGCTCCTGGCTCTGCCGCTGTGCCCCGCGCGGCCTCGGGCTGAGCTATAGCCTGGGTCGGCCCGGCGCGCCGGCCCCGCCCCGCCCCGTGATTGGCCGGCGCCGAGGGGGCGGGCGGCCGGCAGGTGCGCGTGCTCTTGTTTTGCTCCTGCGGGGGGCGGCCGGCCTGCTGCGGGTCCCCAGGCCGCCGGCCCGACTGGGCACCTGTGGGCCAGCGGACGCTGCAGACCTGCGCCTGTCGGGCTCTCTGAGGTCCAGAGCTCGCGGGAGTTGGGCCAGCACGGCCGGGACAAGCCCGCGGGGGACGCCCAACTGCGTGGTCTGGAGCTCAGAAAACCGCTGCCTTCAAACCTGGGGGCGGTTGTGTGGACGCCGCAGGAGGGGGTGTTAGGGAGCGAGGGTGAAGAGCGGATAGCTTCTTTTTTTTAATTCTGTCGTTGTTGGGCACCTCGCTGCCAGGTAGAGAAGCCTAAGGAAGAAGAGACGACTGCTCCGACGCCCCTCCCCCAGCCACAGCTCCAAAGTGGGGCGACCCCCACACGAGGCAGCACATGCTCTCTTACTGCAAGGCTGCTGTGCGCAAGCGCAGTGCTAACGCTAACTACTGGTTGCCAGTTGAAGGTGCGCAGGCCTCTGTCTGCGCCCCACTCCCGAATAAAGGGAAGGCTCACTTTGCAGACCGTGGTGTTTTTCTTAAGTTCCACAGCTGTGTCCGCGGTCCTGTATAAGGAATGACACTAGATCGCCCCCTCATCTGGTCCCCTACGGGAGTATTAGATAGTCTGGCATCTGCTCAAGCCCTTATTATATGGTAGCGCAGCCGTTTCCTGATAACCAAGGCGACAAAGCATTCTTTAGCCCGGATCTCAGAAAGTTATGCTTTTGTTCAGTTGTTTGCATGTTGGGACAAAAACCAGGAATGTCTCCTCTCACCTCCAGCACACCTGGGCCACCGGCCACATCACACCTCTGGGAGCCCAGCTTTCTCCTCACCTAGGGAGGAAGCAAGCAGGCAGGTGGGTGACGCACCCACAGGTCCCCCACCTGTCCAGATTCTCCCCTTAGAATGGAGGGAAGAGCAAAGAGGAGAGGACCTGCTTTTGCTAGGCTGGTTCCCCTCACGGTGTCTGGACACTACCTCTGTTTTATATCGGCTAAAGGAGGAAACCTGCGTTTCCACATGCCACTATCTGCTGTCAGTCCCAGGGTGCCCTAAATATGCTGAACGGGAGACCAACAAATCAGAATGTTCTGAAAAGAGGATTTGCACACTCAGAGAAAGAGAAAGTTCCTCCTCATTGTGGACTGGGCCACCACCTGTTCCAGGGGCAAGAAGAACATAAGAGAAGACTTCAATAGCAGATGAGGAGGGAATTTACATGTGACCAGGGTGAGGGTGGTGGTGTCAGGGTGCCTGGTATGAGGACATCCTTTTTCTATCCATAGCCAGTCCCCACACTTTGAAGGGTGTCCAGATTTCCTTCTGGAAAGTTCTCTTCTCTGCCCTCCAGTTCTCTGCCCTGTGATTGCATGGGACTGACCAATCTTCAGCTCAAGTACAGGCCCAGTGGTTCCAGCCCCCAGGTTCCCAGCCAAGCCTGGCCACAGTGGTTGGTCAGGAACTGGAGATGTTCAGCTGTGTTTGCTGGACTGACAGTGAGCCGGGATGGGAGGAGGACAGAGAGGGCAGGCAGCAATCAGCAGGATTGTGGGCCATGGAAAGCATCTTCATGTGCCATCTGTACCCTGGGGTCACAGTCGTCTCACTGGATGGGAAATCCCATGTGGCACATGGGGACGTCCAACTCGGGTCCTTACACAACCTCCTGGTGCCCACTCTGGGAATCAGTCAGAGGTAGAGCCGGACAGATCTGTGGCTTTGACTCTTAGTTGTAAGTGACAGAAAGCCAACTCTGACAGGCCATACTGGGGGAATGCCTGTCTTTGGTGAAGCAAGGGTTCATATGTGCTAGAGCGGAGCCTGGCAGGCCAAGGACTTGTGCTGCTACCTCAGCTACTGGACTCTTGCTCTCCCCTCTGACTCGGTCCTCATGCTGGCTTCTGCTCAGGTGGGCTGTCCCCATACAGCCCTCCAAGCATCTCCAGGCCCAATCCTGTCAGCTGGCGACCAGTCACTGTGCAAGGGATGCCTAACCTTGAGGGGCCTGTTCTGGGCCACATGGAAATGGGCAGGTTAGCCCCATTGGAATCACACAGGAGGATGGGGGCATAGATGCTTCCCCAGGCCATTTCGAGGCCTTCTCAACAGAAGCATGGGCCTGGCAGAAGTAAGAGGAGCTGGCGCCAGAAGCATTATGTCCAGATCCAACCCCAACAGGACTTTCTGCCAAGACGTGACGAACAGGTGGGCCCGGCTGGGCTGGAAGACTTCCTGTCTCAACAGGAAAATTGGTCCATTATTGGGTGCAGTTGTTCCTCAGTACGCATGGGGGATTTGTTCCCAGACCCCTCTCTGATACCAAAATCTGTGGATATCCCTATGTAAAATGGTGTTGGATTTGCATACAATCTGCTTGCATCCTCCCAAATACCATTTCATCTTATAATACCTACCACAATGTAAACAGTAGTTAAATTATTTTGTTTAGGGATATGACAAGAAAAATATCTATATGTATTCAGTATAGACACAGTTTTTAAAATATCTTTGATCTCTGCTTGTTTGAATCCACAGATACAGAATCCGTGGATACAGGGGGCTGACTATAGCTGTTACTGTTAGCAAACTGTCCCTGAGTCATCACACTCCATGTCACGTGTTACAGGCATGAAGGCACCAGTGATCTCTCCAGGCCTTTGCTTCTCTGCCCAGACATCCTCAGTCCTCCAGCACAGCTTCACAGGAGCTCCCCTTCTCTGGATGAGGACCTATTTCTCAGTGTCCCTTGTGACAGTCAGGGTCGACCACAGAACACCTATTCAATGTATGTCTGATCAAGACAGAGCACACCAGGAAAACCCACTCCTTGGCTTTGGACTCTGTTAGCACAGCCCAGGTTGATACTGATGGGGCAGCAGTAGACCCAGGCAACTTCAGGTGAAGAGCCACACAGGTCATTGGACTCAGCTGATTGCCTTCACGTCCTTTTCATCACACTTCATAGCTCAAATCCTATTGCAGCTACTGTCCAGTTTCTCTCTGCTTCTAACAGCTACTGAGCTGAGAATGAGGAGAGAAGGCAGCCCCCAAGGGCTTGGTTTTAGGGTGAGGATCCTGCACTTGGTGCCTGGTGAGGGTGGGGGCAGGCAAGCCAGATGTCCCCAGGAACCTTTGGGGACATGCATGTCTTCCCCCTTCCCCACCTGCTAAGAAGAATCTGAGGAATGTGCCTTGTGACTCCGAACTTGTAGCTCTTCACTTGAAGTTGCCTGGGTCTACTGTTGCCAGTCACTGTGCAAGGGATGCCTAACCTTGAGGGGCCTGTACTGCTATCCCCATGTGCCACATGGGATTGCTCATAGCCTGGTGGTTTGACGTTCAGCACTGAGGTGTGGAGTCTACCCTGCTGGAGGGCCCATGGCTCTGGGGCAGCCTGAGCGGGCTGCACTGGGCAGACCATTCCCCACTCAGCTGCAGATCTACACCTGAGCTCCTTCTAAGACCTGAGTCTCCAGCCTGCAGCTGGGCCCAGGCTGGTCGGCAGGTGCCAGGAGCTCTTCTGCATGCTGGGAGCTCACACAGGTGTGGCAGACAGAACCAGGTGAGGATTTGAAGGCTGAAGCTCCTGCCCAGACTGGCAGGTTCGAGGTTGCTCCAAGGGCCTCACACCCGATAGACATCAGTCTTGGATTTGGCTGGGGGACTCGTGTGGATGGGGAAAGCCTGCCAGAGGCTGTCTGGGGACATGGGGTTCATCTCTTCAGTACTGCTGGCCCTTCAAGTTCTTCCTTTGTGTGCCCACCTGAGAATCCGATCTCTACAGTTGTGACTCCAGCCACCTGGTTACCATGCTGTGCCTCTTGTGACCTGTGAGCAAGCAGGGCTCTGTTGATGTGGGACTGCTGACCACTCTCCCTGGACATCAGGTCCAGGAAGGCAGAGGTGTTTACCCACAGCTAGGCCCTGCCCTGGTGACAACTGGAGAAGGATTTTTTCTGGACACCTCAGCTGTTAAGTCTGTTCCACTCCAGGTCCTCTGGCTCCCCAGGTTGGTTACTGCTGATGCTCAGCAGCCCGCTAGAGTGCACACTGGTTGCCAGTGTGGACACCGCCTGCCAGCAGGTACCCACACTTGCAGTGTGGCCCTGGGTCTATCTGCCCAGTGGGTGCTTCGTGGAGTAGCCAGTGAACATCTTCTTGACACCTTCCATTTCACGAAGGAAACAAAAACTGAAGAAGCCTGTCTGCTCTGCCCCCTGCCCAGCTCCTCCCTCCCATGTGAGACCACTACCCATGACACATGAGGAACGGCAGTTTAAGGGATTTCTTTACCCAAAGCCTCAAAGCTGGGTGGAGCAGTGGATGACCATTTGTGGTTTTTTTAATTTATATATTTATTCTAACTTGTTATACGTGACAGCAGAATGTGATTCAATTCATAATACACATATGGAACACAAGTTTTCATGTCTCTGGTTTACACAAAGTAGAGAAACACCGTTCATGTCTTCACACGTGTACTTGGGGTAATGATGTCCATCTCATTCCACCTTCTTTCCTACCCCACGCCCCCTTCCTTCCCCTCTCTCTCCTTTCCCTATCTAAAGCCCCTCCACTCCTTCCATGCTCCCCACCCCATCCCCATTATGGATCAGCATCTTCATATCAGAGAAAACATTTGGCCTTTGGTTTTGGGGGATTGGCTAACTTCACGTGGCATAATATTCTCCAACTCCATCCATTTACCTGCAAATATCATGATTTTATTCTCTTTTAATGCTGAGTAATATTCCATTGTATATATTATATCACAGCTTCTTTATCAATTCATCTACTGAAGGGCATCTAGGTTGGTTCCACAATTTAGCTATTGTTAATTGTACTGCTATAAACATTAATGTGGCTGTGTCCCTGTGGTATGCTTTTTTAAAGTCCTTGGGTATAA